GGGACAAATACATAATGTCCAGGGGGGAAAAAAAAAGAAATATCATGGTTTCTGTAGATAGCAACTTTTTGTCTCAGAACCCCATTACACTTTTAAAAATTATTTGAGAATTTTACAAAGAGCTTTTGTTTACCTGGGTTCTATCTGTTCATATTTACCAAATTAGAAGTAAAATTTGTGAACTGTTTTAAATATTTATTAGTTTACTTAAAACAATAAGCCTTTCACAAATTACATATATATTTTTATTAAAAAAATAACTTTAAAAAACCTGTTTTCCAAAAAAAACCTCAGTGAGAAAAGTGGACGGTATTTTATATTTTTGCAAATATCTTCCATGTCTGGCTTTATAAAAGATGGGATTCTTATGACATTCTGTTACATATTGTTTCAGTTAAAGTATATAAGCATATGAAGATATACAGTTGTAAGAGAGAATATTTTTAATAGCATTTTTTTTAATGTTTTTATTGATTTTTTAGAGAGAGAAAGGGAGAGGGAGAGAGATAAAAGGATCGACGAAATCAATCAGCCGCCTCCTGCATGCCCCCCACTGGGCATCGAGCCTGCAACCCAGGCATGTTCCCTGACCAAGAACTGAACCAGCACCCTCTTGGTGCATGGAATGACACTCAAACAGCTGAGCCACACCAGGTGGGCAAGAGAATATTTTAATATTCATTTCATATAACTGTTGATATTCTTGATAATATACCTAAACTCAACAAATGGTCATTTCTTGAAAGTCAGTTACCATGTGGACTCTAAAAGCATATCAATGAACTTTCATACTCTACTACATTAAAATCCACTGGTACTTTGAACGCACTCTTACACATGTGGTTGTGTATCATCATATATCGGTCATCTGGTAAATACTGATTCACTGAATTATGCAGATATTCCAAATTGACAGGTCAGAATGCAATATCAAGGGGGAAAATCACATTCTTTAATATCATTAAACATCTCACCAAAAAAACCTATCTGGGAAGCTGCCAGTCAAGCTCACAATGTTAGATACAAGTTTTCCAAAATTCAAAATTTCACTTGAAAACTTGTTTTTTTTTAAATCACTGGCTACAAATATAGCTATTTTTCTTGAAGTGTTAGACTCACTTAATTAATTTTTGAGAAAAACAAATGTTGGGAGGTAGAATAGGGTGTCTTTGAATAATTATGTTAAATTCTTGACCATAATTATGTATAAATTCTCTATATCTCTGGAGATTGGTTACACAACAATGTAATTAATATAATTAAGACTACTTACCTGTACACTAAAAAACTAGGTGAGATGGTAAATTTTGTTTTTAAAAAAGCCAACCAGGAGACTATGAGAAAAGAAAATTATAAGCCAAATCAATTCATGAACACCAATGTAAAAATCCTAAACAAAATGTAAACAAACCAAATGCAGTAATTTATAAAAAAGATAATCCATCATGACTAAACTGGGCTATCCTAGAAATGCTTACTTAGCCTAATCTGAAAATCAATGTAACTGACCACATTAACAGATTAAGAAGAAAAAATTTTGATCATCTCTAGAGTTACGCAAAAGCCTTTTTTTTTTAATATCTTTATTGATTTCAGAGAGAGGAAAGGAGAAGGAGAGAGAGAGAAAGAAACATCAATGATGAGAGAGTCACTGATCGAGCCCACAACCCGGGCATGTGCCCTGACCAGGAATCGAACCCTGATCGCCTGGACCCTAGGTCTACGCTCAACCACTGAGCCACTCCCGGCGGGCAAAAGCCTTTTTTAATAGAGCTCAACTGCTTATTTACTACTTAAAGAAAACAAACAAACAAAACAAAACTCTTAGCAAGGTAAGATTAGAATGAAACTTACTTAACTTGATAAAGGCCATCTTTTAAAAAAAAACTACAGGTATCATTTTAAATAGTGAAATCTGAAAGCATTTCCTTTGATGTCATGAACAAGACAAGAAACAAAACTTTGGGTACCTGCAAATATTTAAGGTAGTACAGTAACAGTTAAGGGGTAAACAAATAGACCAATGGTACAGAAGAGAGATTACACAAATAAAACTACCCACGTACAGAAACTTGATTTATGAAATAGGAATTTTTGCGTATCAGGGAGAATTACTTATTTTAATAAATAGTGCTGGGATAACCAACTATCCATATGGAAAAAGTGAATCTGTGTCCCATACCTCTCACAAAAACCAATTACTAGGAGATTTAAGAATTAAATGTGAAAGGCAAAACCATAAAGCTTTTAGTTGATAGAGGATGCCATCAGAAGTTATCAAGGTATACATGAGAAATGTCAAATAACCAACTGAATTAAAAGATGAAATCATTTTAATCTTTTCATTTCCCTCCATATTTTATAAGTTAATCAAATAGCAATCATGTCAAAGCAAGCAGACTATCTGATTCAGAAAAAGTATGATGCTAATGTAATACAGAGTCTCCAATGTTCCAACTACTTCATATCCCAAATGTATTATACATTTATGCCCCCATTTAAGATCAGCACATTATTGTAAGGATTTGTTACCAAGAATTTTTAAAAACCTAAAACCTCATGGTTCAGTAAGTGTCTACATCAATGTCTGTGTCTATATCTCATTTCAAGTATTAGCAATGATGCCCACGGTAAAATCTAAACAGTGCTTCAAATAAGTGGGGTATTGGTTTGACCCTTCTCATTGCTCCTTAAATTAGTTTTTACCAAAAGCCAGAACCTCTCTTTGGATGCTTCAGGGAAGAAACACCTAATACATTAAGATAAGATCTCCTTTGGAAAGAGTAAGAACTATTAAAAAAAAAAATAGACAACATATTCTTAGGACTTTCAAATAATTCTGAAATTCAAAGTGCCAAGGAGCTTATTTTAATACAAGCAATACATCATTCACTTGGGAAACTATTAAGAGTGTGTGTGTGTGTGTGTGTGTGTGTGTGTGTGTGTGTGTGTCTGAAAGGGATGAGTTGGAAAAAACATTTGTCTCAAGATAATTTTTTTTTTTAAATATGAAAGCATGTGTAAAATAAATTAAGTAAAATAAATTCATTCCCATTTCATCCACCATCAAAACACCCTCCCTTTCTCCAAAAACACACACATAAATACAAAGTAGATATTTTCAATCTCAACTGCAAGCCTGCCTGAAAACAAAATGATTTTAACCACACAAGTCCCAGCACTCAGACCTGCAGCTTCTCCACGCTGCCCACACAGCACTCTGTGAGCATGTGATGAGGAGGAATGAGGCACAGTCACACCACATTCCTTCCCTCAGCTCACACATCAGGAACTTGCCCCCTCAGCTGCATTCTTCTCCCAGCAGCCGTGGTCACCTTAGCAACCCTATGCTCCTAAAATGGACGCTGGGCCATTTAAAGTCAGCCCTTCTTGGCAGGGAAAATGCTTGTTCTTCAAATTGGGGGAGAACCAAGAGGTTTCCCTTTCAATACACATTACAGGGGTTGATTCAAATTGATCAGCACTTTTGTTCTGTGGCAGTAAGTTGTGTAGAGTTTCAACCTATTCTGAATTTGATTTTTTTTGGTGTTTTTTTTAATTTAAAGTGGCTAAAAATAAATAAATAAATAATAAAGTGGCTAAAAAAAAGGGAGGCAGCTCATACAGAATTCTAAGGAAGAGTAGTAGTACATGAAAAATAAAGGTATCTGAAATAATTGTATTTTTTTATAAAATGATAAAGCTATCCACATTTTTGAAAGTTCAAATTTACTTAAATTGAACTGTAACATCTGAAGCCTTCATATACAATAAGAAATCAGAGACAGAATCTGTCCTTTTTAACATCATAGCCTATTTTTGAACAACAAAAACACTGCTAAACTTCAAAGTCCTATAACTCCAATCTACTGAGTACACTGTGAGTCAATGGATTTATCCCACCACCTAGATGTAAAATCTCACAATCTTTCCAAATGCTCAAATGCAAACTAGGTATGGAAACCAAATGGCTAGCATATCTGAGAATTCTCCAGATCTAGAATGTCCTAGAATAACATTGGATTACTCAAAACCCATCTTAATCTTACCCTTACACCACAAAAGTTGGGCATGAACCAAATTAAGTCTCTTGGGATAAAGGATACAGGTTTAAAATACATTTGTCTCATTTTTATACTATAGATAAATAATTTGGGGGGAAAGGATTACCATATTCTGAAATTTGTGAGATCAAATTGCTTGTTCCGCCCAGCCAGGCGTGGCTCAGCGGTTGAGCGTCCACCTAGGATCCAGGCGATCGGAGTTTGACATGCCCAGGTTGCAGGCTCAAATCCCCAGTCGGGGGTGTGCAGGAGGCAGCCGATCAATGACTCTCTCTCATCATTGATGCTTCTATCTCTCTCTCTCTCTCGAGTCCTTTCCTCTCTCTGAAATCAATAAAGATATATTTTTTTTAAAAAATTGCTTGTTCCATGCCCACAAAGGGATTCTTATCTGCCATCCATCAAAATTTAGTCTTTGCAGAAAGTATATAGGCATGTTCAAAACTAAAAGACACCTAAATTTATGGCCTTCATTGTAAATGGGAAATATTTATGAAATAATTTTCTATATAACAGTGGTAGACAAAATCCATATTAATTTAATAACTAATTATATAAAGTCAGTCAATATATTACAAAGTTGTACATTAAGAATAATTTAGCCCGGCCGGGCGTGGCTCAGGGGTTGAGCATCGACCTAGGATCCAGGCAATCAGGGTTCGATTCCCGGTCAGGGCACATGCCCAGGTTGTGGGCTGCAGCTGATCAATGAGTCATCATTGATGTTTCTATCTCTCTCTCCCTCTCCCTTCCTCTCTCTGAAATCAATAAAGATATATTTAAAAAATAATAATAATAATAATTTAGTCCTGGTGGGTGCCTCAGTTGGAACATCCTCCTGTACACCAAAAGGTTGGGGGTTCGATTCCTGGTCAGCTAGGTTGAGGGTCTGATCACTAGTCAGGGAACATAACGGGAGGCAACAGATTGATGTGTCGATGTTCCTCTCTCTCTCCCCCTTCCTTTCTTTCAAAATCAATAAAAACATATCCTCAGATGAGGATTGAAAAAAAAAGAATTTAGAATTGTACTAATTACAATAATAAAAAATATTAAAGTGTTTGTTACCTGATGTGTTTATTGCCATTCTACTTGTTAAATTGTTAAAATTACATAAAATGGATTTCATTCTACTAGTTGGCCACATCCCTTGAATAAATATTCAATGCATATAGTTTAAAAAAATGTTTTAGTGAAACTTAAGGTTAAGTAATTACCACCTACATTATTCATTGGTTATATTTTTGTTTGTATGTGTGTGTTTTAAACTTCTCAGGTAATGAGGTTCTTCCTGGTTAGAAACATTTCTTTCAAGTTATAACTATCCTAGTAATTAGATCTTCTATAAAGAACAAAATACCAGTTGATAAGGTGGCAGTATAGATTAGTACAAAGAACCTAAAGCTAATTCCACTACTGGTTTCATCATTTGTAAAATAAGAATACTATCTGTTTTATTTATGCCATGTGTTAACTAACATAAAGTGAGAATAATGAAATTACTATACCACATAAAATACTCAAAAAATTAAAGAAACTAGAGAAAAAAACTATGCTACCTGATATCTAATTCTCTGAATTGTTATTTTTAAAAAGAGTGAAGGACTATTTAACAATGCATGGGATCCCAAGTCAGTATCAACTTCAAGAGCTTCCCACCAAAGATCTTATAAATACCTGTGTTGACAAATAAATACTACTTTCAAAAAGCCTCAACATTGGCTTCACTTTTACAAGATGTGAATTCTTTTACCCTTTTCCATTCCACTACTGAATCAGTTCCACATTCCTCCTAGCCCCCAGGACTAAGTGCCCCTAAGATCCTCTTCTCACACAAAGAAACTGCTACGAACAAGGTACCTTCAGCTTTTTCTACCTACCAGAAGCCCCTCCCTGATCTGATCGCTACTGTCATTCTCCTCCTAATGTCCTAGCCCACCCTGCTCTCACAGGAGTCCCTCCCTCTCTGTCCCCTTCACTGCTAGGGGGCACACCATCACCCCAGACACAGAGCTTCTAAGTTCCCATTCTCTGACAATTTCTAGTTAGGGGGAGCCAAGAGAAGTTGCTTCTGCTGATACTGTGCTACTGCGGGAGAAACAGTTTCTGCATCCCAAATTTAGAATCCTGCATTTGTACAGTTCTTACTCTCTTAAATTCAGTGAGGGGTTCACAGAACCTGGCCTGCTTCAAGAAAGTAACAGAAAAAAGATGATGAATGTTCAAATATAATATAATACAATGCAGAAATTAATAAGTAATAGATAATGCAGAGGTTCCATAATATTACCAGTATCTTTCAACTACTCAGCTTTTGTGGGCTAACACTGATACCTAAGCATTTTAATATACTGTTTCTAGATGAAAAAATACATGCTTTTGTTAGGTCCCATAATTCTTTTCTTTGCTTGTTCTAACAGACTCTTGGATAGACAGCCTTCTAAACAGATGTTTATATTTCCTCTAATTTGTACAGCATCTAACTCACGTTCTTTAACTTCAATTCGAATATAAAGAAATGAACACAAATGGGCTTTTCTTAAATGCTCATTTTAAGGTGCCTTATACCTCTAAGGAACTTAACAGCTTCATTTTAATAAATAACCTAGAATACAAAGTAACAGTAGAAGAAAACAAATTAGATGACCACTCAAGGTGGCTGGATCTTAGAAAAGAGGAAGGGGGGGGGAGAGGAGGAAGGGGCCAACAAGAATTAGATTAAGAGCTAATGTATAATTAAAATACAGGCAAATAAAATAAAATAAACCTTTTACAAGACACAAACAAAAGAATACATATTAAACACATTAAAGGGTCACTTATATGGAGGCGTGTTATAAAAGAAAACAGAAGAACAGTCCTTTAATGAACCAATGATGATGGGTATGACACAAGTGAAGGAACATCATTCACTTAATACTCTAGTACAAGAGGCTGAAAATTGATACTCCAGACAAAGCCATCCTCTTTCATAATAAACAGTTGCTCCAAAATTTAAACAATAATTTTTTAAATTGTGGTAAAATAGATGCATAACGAAACTTACCATTTCAACCATTTTTGAGTGTATAGTTAAAAAATTTTTTAAAGCTGTCATTGCCCTTTAATACCTTTGTGAAGCAGGGTGATACTATATAAATGTAAATAATTGTTTTGACTATTTTCTACTCTAAAAAATCATAAAATTACCTGGGTATTTGTAAAAATAAGTATTTACTGAACACTTATAGGGGAGCCCTAAGAGTACTAGACACTAGGATCCATCACCACTGTATTATGCATTGTATTAATGTCCAAGACTTAAATTTCATTTTCCAAAAGAACAGAGACAAAGATGTAACAGATCAAGTTCACTAAGATTAGATCTTTTGAAGTTTCTGTTTGTGCTTTAAGCTTTGTCATCCAGGAAAAGAAAGATCTGGATTTTTCCTGAAATCTTTGAGCAGTGCCCTGGAAGATCAAATAGTGCTACACACAGGTTCTGGAGCCCCTTCCTTAACCCCCCAGACACAGAAGGAAAAAAATAGGGAAAAAGAGTTTCACAAAAAACTTGAAAAGCAAAACTATTGGTGATTTGCCCTCCCTTCCTCCTCATCAGCCCCTTTATTTTAGCCCTTTGTTTTCAGTTATCAGGATAAAAACTGACCTGATTAACTAAATCTGTGTCACTCTCAAAGCTAGGTAGAAAAGATATGTTTGAGAATACAAGTTCCCCTCCAAATATAGGATATTGGAAAAAGTGAATAAATGAGAAAGAGTTATTGATCTGAATAATTAACTATATAAGCATTTCCAATTAACAGACTGAATTAATCTGCAGTGATCGCCACTACCTATACAAAAGAGTCCCTGAAAAAATTTAATCAAAGTAACTTAAGGCTGCCAGGCAATTGATTTTAAGTTCCTGGCACAGGATAATTAAGCACCCCAATAAGGTGATTTTACTATCTACTCACTGGAACATTTCATCCTTCAGAAGTCAGGAGTATAACAATGTAAATCAATGGTGATTTAAAATCCGTTGTAAAGGTAATCATTCAGGTTTTTTTTATACTACCAGATGTTACTCAATCTTTTATTATCTACCTGGTAAAAAGCATTATACTTTGTAAGTTAAATATAGCAATTACACAATTTCCATAGGTGGAAACATAGCTAAATAATGTTCTTTAATTTAAAGCCCCTGAGAGAGATTCTATGAACCTTCTGCTCGGCAAAGTCATTAGGTAATGTCCACTGAGTTAGAAGGTGAATGGGCCCCAATGGAAGAAGAGAACTTTTTCATAAAACGGACAAACTCACTTCTATTGACACTAGAAATAAGTTCTGACCCTGAAAAGCAGTATTTGAGGTCCAAAGTAACTAATTTTATCACACGCTTTTAATACTAACTTCAAATGAGATGAGCCTGTGTCTTGCTAGCAAATACTGAGGTAGTAAAGGTTTGCTAACAAATTTGTGAGAATCTTGTAATAATCAAGAAAAGATATGAAATAAATATGGGAAAGTAATTTTTAAAAATCAAGAACAATTAAGCCTGTATTCAACTCTAATTGGTTTATTACTATATTAATAATTTCTTACCTTGTGGAATTCTCTTCTGAGAAAAACAGATACAATTTTGTTCCTAAAAAAATTTAAGGTAGAAAAGTTGAAATGTTTCAAAACAGAAAGTGTCTTGAAAATGAAGTTCCAAAATGTTAGCACAGTACATACAGACTATTTATGACATTTGATATTACCAATGCTTAAAAAGACAGTAAGTCCCTAATAATAAAAATACTTTATTATTTTTATAAAAATATATATTATAAAATTTATTTTTTATCATTACAAAAATACTTATTCTACTGACTATCACATCATTTTTGCTAGGTACATAATGATGTGTGGCACATATTCTAAAATATCATCACTCAATAGGGTTTACTCTAGTCAAGATTTGATATTCCAAAGGGTACTTTTTAATCTACATGTCATAAAATCCTTTTAATGTATAAAATTCAGTGGCTTTTACTGTGTCCATAAAGTTGTGTAACCTTCACCACCATCTAATTCCAAATACCCCAATAAGAAATACTATACTGAAGCAAACATTTCCCCTCGAGGGAGAAACATATGAAACAATGTAATTTAAAAATATATACAAAAAGCATACTCGTTACAACACTATGATCAAAATTATGTTTTCTTTTAAATGTGTAGAACAAAGACTGGTAAAGAAAACAAATATTCAAAAATTATAATAGTAGTTGTGTTTGGATAATGGTATTATAATGACTCTTTTTTATATATTTCCTCTAAAGCTATGGTTTTATAATAGTGCCTTCATTGTTCTTAAAAGGTACAACACAGGCATCATTTTCTAGAGCTATATATTAGAATTTGTAGTATAATCCACAGTAAAAAAAAACAAAAAAAAAAACCACAAAACAAAAAACAAAAAAGCAGAAATACAAATTGACACTTTTAAAATATCCACTATATTTTTTTAATATTTTTCAAAGTAGATAAAATAAGTATAAAGTTAAAGAAAAATGTTGGCCACACTTACTAATCTGGTTGAAAAGCCACAGCTGCATTTTACTTTATGACAAATTGGCTGTTTCATCACTTTGCATCTGGGCATCTACTTCTCCATGGTCATTTCTGAAACAAAGATGTAGTAATTAAGAATATATTATAACAAAAGCATGAAATCTTTAAGGACAATTATCTAAATTTCAGTGGCTATAGGGAACTATCAAAACAGTTATTGCCTGGCCGGTGTGGCTTGGTGGTTGAGCACGGACCCAAGAACTAAGAGTTCACAGGTTCAATTCCTGGTCAGGTTACGGGCTCAATCCTCAGTATGGAGCATGCAGGAGGCAGCCAATTGATGTTTCTCTCTCATCAATGTTCCTCTCTATCCCTCTCCCTTCCTTTCTCTCTAAAATCAATAAAAGCATATATTTTTTAAAAATAGTTCTTGCCCGGCCGGGCGTGGCTCAGTGGTTAAGCATCGACCTGGGATCCAGGCGATCGGGGTTCGATTCCCTGTCAGGGAACATGCCCGGGTTGCAGGCTTGATCAATGACTCTCTCATCATTGATGTTTCTGTCTCTCTCTCTCCCTCTCCTTTCCTCTCTGAAATCAATAAAAATATATTTTTAAAAAAATAAAAATAAAAATAGTTCTTAAGCAACCTTCTAATAAAAAACATGAACAGGACTGAGGGCAAGGTGGGATGAATGGAATACAGACTATCGTCCCATAGGCCCAGAATTCGACGGTTATGTTACAAGTACTCTGCATGTAAAAATCCATAACTTCTTCAATCCCTTTCACCCACCAGGCTCTTGCAATTCCTAACAATGCCATTTATAGACTGGAAAAAGAAAAAAGGAAAATACAGAAGAGAAGCCCTAAAACCACATGTTTGAAAACAATAATTTGCTTATTTGTTACACTAATTTGTCTATTTTTTCCTCACACCTATAAAGCAAGCTCCAGAGATTTCTGTCGGTTTTATTTACTGATACTTTTCGAGCACCTAAGACAATGACTACCATGCACTAAGTCCTCATGAATAAACTGATGAATGATTTTTTTGTTTGTTTAAAATATTACAAATGTCCCTTTTTCTCCCCAATGACCTATTCCACCCCGTCCCATTCCCCTCCCCAGTCGCTCTCCCCACCATTGTCCATGTCCTTGGGTTGTGCATATATGCATATAAATTCTTTGGTTACTCTCTCCCCCTCCACCCACCCACCCTCCTCCATCTCTCTGACATTCGTCAGTCTGATCCATGCTTCCATGTCACTGGATCTATTCTGTTCATCATAAACTGATGAATGATTGAACATTAATTGATGACATATTTAACCTTATAGTATTTCAAAACAGCTAAGTGTCAAAATGGCATCTCTTCCACACATACACCACTGATGTTTAACACCAACTACATATTTAACCTTATAGTATTTTCAAAACAGCTAAGTGTCAAAATGGCATCTCTTCCACATATACACCACTGATGTTAACACCAACTACATCAACTTTATTGCTTTGTTCTCCAATAAACAAAGTCCCTAATTAAAAGACAAGACATGATCCCAACCTTCAAGGAACAGTACAAAGGCATATGTCACTTTGTAATTTTGTTAGTGCAACTTTTGGGAAAGATTCCTGGAAGGAGAATTGCTGGATATGCAATTTTGCTAAAAATTGCCAAATGGTGTCCATGAGGGTCTTTCTTTTTTAAATATATATGTTCTTTCAAAGCACTGGTTGTGAAAACAGCTAAGAATGTAACAGAAAATCTTTCATAAGGAGAGAAAAGTTGACAGGTCTCAAAAATAATCCTCAAGGAACCCAGGAGTTCCTTTTCGTCCATCCACAAAATGCTACTCTTTCTGTAAAAAACTGGGGGAGTACAAATCTTAATACAGACATTTTTTTTTCTTTCAAAAAGCAGCAGTGGAAGGATAAGCTGAAACAATTTTTAAACAGTTATCTACAGAGAAAAGAGAAAATAGTATAGAAGGGATAGAAATGGAAGACTTCTCAGAACATATCTAATAATTTTTACTTTGAAGACATGTTTTAAAATCAAATGAACATCAAACTATCATTGACTGAAACATTAAACATATAAAAAAAATTCATGGTCATCTTTGGAAGTTACTAGGGCACTAACTTATTATCTGAAAATTGATAAAGGGGAATTGTCAAGCATTTATCCTGGCTTTCTTATATGAAAAATACCCCAGGGTAATCAAAAAATCAATAAATGAAAGCTCTTTTTTTTAATAGGATCCCAAAAGTAAATATAGAAGGAATGAGAGGATTAGAAAAATCAGCATTTTGTAACCCCTAATGAAATAATGGATATTTTAAAAAGATCAATGATTGTTAAAACCATTAGGTATAAAAGCTGATGGGAAACTTTATAACGGCTAAATCAGGTTGACAAAACTTGAACCCAGTGATTAATCTTAACATCATTAAAAATGGGTCAACCAGATATTATGTACAGAAGAATCATCACTGTCTATTAAGTGTTCATCCTGGGAGCTCCAGTTTCAAATGATATCCACATTACCACTCCTACCACCATGGTCCCAGCCACCTCTATCTCATCTGCATTTCCATAATAGTTTCCTATCTGATCTCCCAGCCTCCCCCTCCCTTGCTCACCTCAACAAATCAGTCAGATCAGTCCTTTTCAAAAGAAAGTCGTGTCATGTCCTTCTGCTCAAAACCCTCGAATTGAGTCGACCTTGCTGGTCTAAAAGCCAAAGTCCTTACAAAGGAATAGGACTCTGACCTAGTATTTCCCTTCCCCATCTCTCTAACCCACTTCCTACCATCCTCCCTCCTGTTCACTCCACTCTAGCCACATTGGTCTCTTTCCAGTCCTTAAACACATCAAGCATGTTCTCAGGGCCTCAGGATTTGTTTTTCCCTCTGGCTTATTCCTCCCCCATCTCCCTTAGGACTCAGTTTTTACCAGTTATCTCGTCACAGAGATATGCCCTGGCACCCTAGGCAAGCCCAAAACCTCTGCCTCAGATTTTCCTATCTGGGAGAGAATATGCTAGGAGAAATCAGTCACAAAGTTTGGAGATGACAATCACTTGAAACACAAAAGTCATCAATTTTCATATCTTTGTGTCTAAACATCTATAGAACTATACTCTCTAAAAGATTCCTACGGTCCCAACTTCAAAGAATTAAAAAAGATACAGCTACCATAGTGTGGTTTTGTTTTGGTTTTTTTTGTTGTTGCTGTTTTGTTTTGCTTTTAAATCACCTATTTCGTAACACTAGAAAAGAGGGGGTTAAAGATTTGAATTAAATGGGTCTCATTAAGAAACAACAACTAGCAAAATAAATGGCAGTCCTTTTCCTCCCATTCCTTTAAGGATTTCTGTTAAGGATTATATGATAAAGTTCCAAGAAATCTCAGAAAAAGTTTTAACTACTTTCAAGTATCTGTTACCTTCAGGCACCATGACCACCAGAAAGAATCAAAAGAACTCACTAACTCTAACATGACTAGACTAGCTATGACATGGTTGGGATGTTTGAACTTAATTATTTTTCTTTAAACAAACAAACTTCCCCTGGGTTAAGTCCTACTCTGTTTTAAACATCTTATGGCTGCCAAGCTTCAGGGTCTTAAGAGAGATAGCCAGGGGACAGAGAAAACAGCAAGTATGACTCAGTGATCACATTTAATAGTCTCTGAAGACCAAAACAAAGATACCAGTTCTGGCAAGAGTTCTCTAGAATTGCCCCAAAACTGACTTATCCACATACCTTTCATCTGAACAATGTCTTTTCACTTAGTTTAAGTTTCACAAAGCACTTGTTATGTGCCTATCAGACCTTAGGTACAAAAATAAACCAAGAGGACAAGGAAAACAATTAGCAGGCGTCGTAAGAGTTGAAGGATGAAATTTTAAAATCTGTTTTGTCTGGGGAGGAGGGAAGAACTCTTTATTTTTGCAGAAATGCCCCCACTCGTTTGGAAATCAGACTTTAACAAGTCCAATCGCTTGAAAGAAGACTGGTGATTTTAAAGTAACTTTTATTGAGCAAGTTGTGTGCCAGATATTTACATTAGCTCACAATTCTCAGAATTCCCCTATGGGGAAGGTATTAACAAAGCACATAGAGTAGTTAGATATCTTGTGCAAACCAGAAAGGGACAACACCAGGATGCAAAAGCTGTCTTTCTTTATCAACAGTATAATCTGCAGTAAACTAGAATACAATTATTAGACATAAATATCACATTCGCCCCATAGGAGTAACATAAATCCAGGCTACTCATTTAAGAAATTTGTTCCATTCCTCCAAAGTTTCTTTAGATCAAAGGGCAAATGGGAAAGGTTTACTGTTACATATTAGTAAGAAAACTGTGGCATTAAGGGATGAATCAGAAGAATATGCTACATTTAGGTCTAAGTGAACTGTGTAAGAGTAAGCTAAGCGCCCGGCCGGGCGTGGCTCAGCGGTTAAGCATCGAACTAGGATCCAGGTGATCGGGGTTCGATTCCTGGTCAGGGCACATGCCCGGTTGCGGGCTCCATCAATGACTCTCTCATCATTGATGTTTCTAGCTCTCTCTCTCCCTCTCCTTTCCTCTCTCTGAAGTCAATAAAGATATATTTTTTTAAAAAAAGAGTAAGCTAAGCACAGCACAACTTACTAATTAGTATTCATTCACGATTAACCTAATCACCTCTAAGTAATGGCCATTCCATTACACTCTGAGAAGTCTAGGAAGAAATGTTAAGCTTTAATAGAGTGGGAACACAGCTATTCATCAAAATAGTTTCTGTACTTTTTCTGGATGTTTGAAGTACTTCTCTCTCTTTCTTCATAATAGATATAGATAAATACACACATTAGTATTCTACCAATTTCTTAAAATTTACAGAAAAATTATTAGTTATCATTACTAATTTTTCTTTTTTGGAAAATTCTTCCATGTGGAACACTTTAGTTCCTGACACTATGGAATAACACTTATTGGAGTCTGTTCTTTATACTCAACGGAACCTGACTTTTAACACGTCATTATCATTATTGTAAGCTTATTGGTTATTATTAGATGCAGACACTGCCTATCACACAGTAAAAGTAATATCCTTATT